AAAGAAAGTTCTAGTTTCTAACCTTGAGCAAAAAGGAGACAACTTTATGAGAATATAACAACAAAAAAATGGCCACACATGCATTACAATCTTGTAGAAGAATTGCCTAGAAACAGTAAATGCTGATATAAACACAATTCTTTCTCTCAGAAACATAAACGGATGCGATTTTAGAATAGCCAGTTAACACTAATGTTGCCAAGCCATGTAAAAAGTGGGAATTGGGCCAAGGCAATAAAGAGCAGAAGGTAGTGGTGCTTGCTGGAATCGTAACTCCTGACCTCTGCGAAGAGGACTCTCTTCATTGTCTTGACCAAGAAGATTCCCATGCATAAGCAGGTCCATGGCATCAAAAAGTAGTATGAGTATCTCCATATGATCCTTCCAAGAACAGCAAGGCATAACCCTGTGAAACTATAACCACCATATGCCACAATGTCAAGTAAGGGAGCCTCACCACTGCCCAATGAAAGTAATGTGACTTTGAGAAGCATGAACTGCATAAACCAGCCAAGAACACCCTTGACAAACAGCCAATTTAAAGCTTCTGGGGTAAACCTGTGGGAATAGAATACGTTAGGAAAAGGAAGAAACCAAAGAAAGTCCAGCTAAGTAAAATAGAGAAGAACTCTTGAAATAAAAGAATTCAGTTCACAGCAGTACCATGATCCAAATGCTTGAATAAATGACAAAAATAACCAAGATATGTTTTTCAAAAGGAGCCAAAAATGAAACCGTGTTTCAAACTTAAGCAACAACACTTTCAATTAAAAGGACTGTTATTAACATCCAATGTAGCAGACTAGAATGGTAACATTCTTGCTTTCAAGCTCCTACTCTACGTATACATAAACCATTGATTAGACTAGGGCTTATTCCCCCAACAGTACCTCAATAGGTCATGTTCATTTATAGAATCAATCATGTTACACTAATATGAACACACAGAGTGCATTAGCTATGAGACTTCTTCTTTGGTGAAAAAAAAAAAAAGAAGGAAGGAGAGAGGGAGAGGGAGAGAAAGAGAGGAACACGAGCACCAGGTAGAAACAGAAAGGTAAAGCCCAAATAATGCTTTATTTATGTAGGAAGCATGTTTAAGTGAATGGTTTTTCACTGTAATTTTCATTTTAGAAGAGTAGATAATCAATGGAATTACAAGTAGAAAACCAATGGCAAAAATTCCTGTTTCCAAAGAAGCATATATACATGCAATTAAGCCAAGACAGAGAAGTTAAGGTGAGAAAAATCAGTTAAACTGATAAGAATACACTTACTTCCCATTTAGTCCTAATGACAAGCCAGCAAGAATCACGTAGGTACCAAATGCCATAAATGGAATGTACAAGTCAGGTGCATTAATATCATATAAAGGGGGTTTATAGGAAAGCCGGCCTCCTACTGGCTCAGTTATTCTTGTCCAATGTCCCTAAAGAAAAAGGCAGGGAAATAAGAAGGTAGTTATGGGGGGGAAAATGAGAAGAAAATGATGAAGGGCTTCCAGTGCTCACCCTATGCAGGAACGGGAACAAAACAACCTTCAATTTGTTCCTCACGTACTGATCATTCACTTGAAAGTAGTACTGGGGATCAGAGAAGTACCGACTAATCTGTTCATTGTAAGGCAAGATAATGATCAGGAAAAACCAATCCTCATAATTCAGGAACAGAATAAAATGAATGAAAGCTTTGATGTTGATGATGATCACTTGAAACTACAACTGCTTAACTTTCAAACGTGATTGTAAACCATAACCAAGAAAAGCAGTATACCATAATTACCATTAGTTTTGATGGAAGTTGTGGAAGAGTTTCGAACATAATGTAACTTTTTGAAACTTTCAATTAGGGAGACCCTGAGAAAATGATCACGTAACAGGAGTACATGAATTAACTTTCTTACTAAGTTACCCTCAAAAGACATAATCAACTAAAACTCATTAGGGTGAGGTGGTGACTGCTAATTGACTGTTCATGCTTATATCAAAAGACAAATCAATTCAATACAGATACTAATTTGGGATCCCTAAATCTTTCTGGTGGCTGCATAACATAATTCCTTAATAACAAACTCAAATGCATTATGTAATATGACACAGGTACACATGAACCAACAGAAATAAGAATACTAGAAACCATTTTCTCTATTGTTGCACTCATCCTGAAACTTACGTTGCTTTGGACATACTCAGAACTTGAGCCAAAAATTTTCTCTCCATATGCACCCAGACCCCCTCGTATAAGGCCAGATCCAGCCCCATAAAATGTATTTCCAAATGGATTTGGCTGAGGATTTGCCGCTGGTCTTGGTGCCCCAGGCTGGGCTCCTAAGTTATTATACATTTCTGTAGCAAAAAATAAAGTTCAAGAAACACTTGAAGTAACCTCCTTCTGGGGTGATATGTACATAAATCAAAATCAACAAAATGAAAAAGGACACATTCTCATGCTGCATTTCAATAGTATAATAAATAATAATGTAACTATAATTTGTAACTTATCACTAGCACTTTGTTTATCTTCTATATTTCTTCCAAATATAAATTTTGACTGCTTTATGAAAAGATTAAAGGAGTTCAATTTCTAAATTCCATTTAAGCATCCATATTTGACTCTCTATCTCCTTCACAATCAGAAGACCTTGCTACCTAAATCAAAGTTATCTGCCATTTCCATTGTATACAAGTTGCCTCATCCATCTTCAATCTACTAAACCTCCTTTAATCAATGGTTAAAGAACAAACCCAACCAGAAGGCAATCCCTCTCTCGTAGTTCTGGTCTGAAAATATCAACCAACACCTTCCAAACTCCTTGACCAATGATTCGGCAATAATACGTATCAAACTTTGCACCGGTTTTCAGTTTCTGCAATCACATTCTTAACAATTGGGAAGAAATGCACACCCTCAACCTCTCAAAATTTGATGTTTTAAGCATCAATTAACTCTAATAGGAAACGAAAACAACCAGACTCAAATCCCCATACATGATGCAATTCACCAATTCAGACCAAACCAAACCAAACGGCTAGAAAACAAACACCAAATAATAGGTAGTTAAACTAAAATTTCGAGAAAGATATAATAAATTAAGACAGAAATGGCATGAACATAGATAGTTAAACTCCACTGAGTTCTCAAATCTGAAGTAACAATCCAACTACTAAACACGAAGCTCTACAACAAGAACTCATCCTCTAATTCATTCTGATTCCATAACTCAATCTGGAAATGC